CAGGAGGCAAAGATTCAATCTTTGGCCAATTTTTACCACTTGTCTTTGAATACTGGAAAACTTACCACCTCATTCTATTTCTTGTTGAAAAAACAAAGGCTGGGTTTAGAAAGTTCAATAATTTAGGGCCGGCCAGTGGCTCACTTAGGAGAGCGTGGTGCTGCCAACACCAAGTCAAGGGTTAAAAATCCCCTTACCGGTCATCTTTAAAAAAAAAAAAAAAGAAAGAAAGAAAGATCAATAATTTAGCTCTCACGAATCCTCCCGAATAAACTTTTTCTTGAGTTTTACTTAGAGAAGCTTCAATTATGACAAATGATACAACATGGGCAACAGCAGGAATGATCCTAGTGGTTTACTAACAAACCTTTGCACACCTATAAAATTAAAATGGTTGAGATGCTATAGGAAACTGTTAATAAGTCTTCTGAAATAGTGTGATGTTTCACTCAGTACAGCACCAACAACAGTTATATTTGACTTAATGTTTTTTATCAAGAAGACCAAAAATCCCTCGGGCCGGCCCGTGGCTGACTCGGGAGAGTGTGGTGCTGATAACACCAAGGCCGCGGGTTCGGATCCCATATAGGGATGGCCTGTTTGCTCACTGGCTGAGCATGGTGCTGACAACACCAAGCCAAGGGTTGAGATCCCCTTACCGGTCATCTTTAAAAAAAAAAAAAAAAAAAAAAAAAAGACCAAAAATCCAGAAGGGAATTGTAAACTCTCATCTGGAGCCATATATTATTTGACACATCCACTGACTGTGCGTGAAGCATTAAAAAGCCCTGGGTCTGCAGTGAGTAAAAAGTATATTCCTGAAGGAAAATGTGGGAGATTTAGAGTGCTCCAGACACAAGAATATGAGAAAATGAGAGCAACACCTCTCTTGTAAGCTACTCGATAGAACTTGACCTAGCCTCCAAAGGGTCAGAGAAGGAAATTAATTTGGAGTTCTTTTTTTTTTTTTCCTTTTTGTCTTTTTTACTGACCGGTAACGGGATCGCAACCCTCGGTGTTGCACCCGCACCGCGCTCAGCCAGTGAGCGGAAACCGGTCTCCACATGGGATCCGAACCCTCGGTGGGAGCGCTACCGCGCTCCCAAGCGGCACACTCTCCAGTGCGCCACCGGGCCGGCCCTAATTTGGAGTTCTGAAGCCTGCTTTAAACATGTAATTCTGCATATCTGGATAACCCTAGTATTACTTTTAGGCAAAAACAAAAGACCAAATTTTGAAATGGAAGAGAACACCTCGTAAGTTAGTTTTATCTTCCTCTCTAGTTATTACTGAAAGTGTACTTAATAAAACTGTGAAATGTGAATAATTTAAAAAGAGAAAAGATAGAAAAGAGGGAAGATGGTGGGATCTAAACACAGGAGTGTAAAAAATTAACTGCGGAAAAACCACAGTTTAGAAGCAAGCATCTTCACCCTGAAGAGGAAGGATGCTGTAAAGCACCACTCCTACCTCTGTGAATGAATCTTGTTCACATATAGCCGGTGGTCCCCAGGAGGTGGCCATTAGGTAAATGTAAAGTATTCCAGACATCATGGTAACAACTGCTTGGCACCTTGACATATTGACCCTCACTCAACCTACTTGGATGGTCACACTTTTATGGTGCCATGGACAACCAAGGCCAAACCTTGGTAAGGCGGGCCTGCCAATTGCCCCCAATAACCTCTGAAGCAGTTGTAGAGTTCCCCCAAAAATGAACTTATAAGGAGTAATGTTTACATAGCTACTGAAGAGTAATTATTCCTTAAGGTATTTATGATAGAGGAAGCAATAACATTTTCAAATTAGGAAACTGAAGCATATAGGGTTAGTACAATATGTCATAAAGTACAAATCAACTCATCTGAAAGGGGAGAGCTGAGTAGCATGTTGAAAGTCTCGAGGAACATTAGATGAACGGACTCAGCAACAAAATGAACAGTTTGAAAAAAAAAAAAAAGAACAGTTTGGCCTTATCTCCAAGATCTGGTCTCTAGCCAAGCCAAGGAAGTCAGCGGTAGCACACACAGAAATAGAACTTGGAGTTCCTAACTTCCAGTCTGTGTTTTGCTCAGTAGATAAGCAGGAGACCATTAATAAACTGGTTTTATTCCCAACTTTTCTTGTCTAGGAATGGAAAAGCTTATTGGTCAACCTTAAAGATGGTAAACTTTTATTTATGAATGAGTAACAAATACTCACACGGTATTCTGGTATACAGTATACTGGTACAGTAGTCACCACTTAGTAGCATCCAAAGGTTTAATTTGATTACCTCACAATGGAGGATGAATCACAAGAGTCTAGGATCCTCCCCCACTAAATTCTTCACAAAAGAACCACAAAGATAACCCCTAAAACACCTGTCAGCTCCTGTGACTATTTAACTAACTCCTACCAAATTAGTGTCAGCTCTCTGTAGTTCACATCTCCTACTGATCAGTGTAAAGTGAACACGCTGGAGGCCAAAAATCAACCCACAGTATGAATCAAGTGTACTGAAGTGGTTCAAATTTCAGATTAAGAACCCTAGTCAACTATGATTCTGGTTTTTGCAACCAGTTGTTAAGACTTTCTCTGACAACATCTGGGAGGCAGAGAGGAAAAGAGTTAAAGCTATGGAATTGACACTCTTACAAATAATAGGAGGAGCAGGGCTTCAATTCTGAAGAAACTTTCAAGTTCTTGCTATTAAGGCCAAAGGCTTAGGAATCATTTGACCATCTGTAATTGGTAAGGATTCATCACAAGGTCCCTACAAAGATAAAGTTCAATGTCCTGTCACCCTACTTCAGAGCCTACATAGGTATAATTTTAACTGACATTTTAGCAACAAAACTTATTTGAAGATAACCCTGAGCCACAAGTCTCTCTGGATTTAGATTTCAAGCAGTAGGAAACACGGTTTCATCTGCAATTCAATCTGCAAGAACTTCACATCAAACTTCAATCTTTAAGAAGATGCTAAGAACTATAATTTAAGGATGAGTTTATTCTTTCATAGTAGGTCTCCTCACATCCTAAACACCTTACATTTAAAGTAGATCAAAACTGAAATTTCTATTTTGGTTGCATCTAGGATCTACAGCAGTGATTTTTAACTACTTAGAATTTCAAAATAGAGGTTCCTGGGCCAGCCGGTGGCTCACTTGGGAGTGTGGTGCTGATAACACCAAGGCCACGGGTTTGGATCCCTATGTAGGGATGGCCGGTTTGCTCAATTGGGAGAGCATGGTGCTGATAACACCAAGGCCACGGGTTTGGATCCCTATGTAGGGATGGCCGGTTTGCTCAATTGGGAGAGCATGGTGCTGATAACACCAAGGCCACGGGTTTGGATCCCTATGTAGGGATGGCCGGTTTGCTCAATTGGGAGAGCATGGTGCTGACAACACCAAGTCAGACGTTAGGATCCCCTTACCAGTCATCTTTAAAAAAAAAAAAAAAAAGGTTCCTTAGTAACAATGCACCACTGGCACGCAAAACACTCCCCCATTTTGTTTAGTTTGGGGCAGAAAACTCTTTAAACTGGAAAGATCTTGTAGTTTACAGAGATTACAATGGAATTCGTTCATTTTTCCCTCTAGGACAGCAGCCACTTCTCCAAAAGTTTTGGTAAAAGTTATAACTCAGATTTCAAAATGCAAGCAAGTGTTCACGGAGCATCCGAAATGGGCCACTCCATTTCTATTACTGGCGACTATTCTGTGTCCCATCCTTGTAATGGACAAAAACCCACTCCTTTGGTGTAAACTTTCAAGAGAACTGGGACAGCACACATTAGAAGTTTCCCAGAGTGGCGTGGGTGGCGACGTGCAAGGTCAGGTCATTCCGAAAATCGGGCTGGATGGGAGAAATCTTGAGGGCAAGACCGCTCAGAGATCTCCATGCACTGGGCTCGTGAAAGTTTCCACGTGCCCCTCTCTAGCTCGTCCCAGGGGGAATCAGTGGTTGCTACAGTAGTTAGAGGGTTGTTCATTTTCGCAGACCGGGAGACGGGATGGTTTTGGTATATGCGGGAAGAAGGGTGCGCCGGGCTCTCGGCCCTCGGAGCCTGCAGCTGACTGCCACTCCTGAGGGCTGGGCGGCCAGAGCTGCGACCTCCGCCCTCCCCCTCGGTACCAGCCTCTGGAATCTGGCGTCACCCCCACCTCGCGGGTCGAAGAGGGAGTCCCACTACGCTGGGCCTCGCCGCCATACCCAGGCCGAATGGGGGGTGGGGAGAGAACTTGGCGGAGCTAGGCGTTAGGACCCAAGCCCCTGTGGAAGGACAGCAGAGATGAGCAGTTTCGCCAGCCTCTCTCCCGCTGGGGTCTCGGGAACACGCGGTAATTACCCAAGAACCGCCCCCCTCCGTGAGGGGCGAGGCTGCGGGGCTGCCGGGACGGTTTGAGGACCAGGCTCGGTCGGGGAGACTCCAACCTTCACCCTTCCTGGTGCCCGGTCCCTCTCCCCGCCGCTTCCCGGCGCCGCCACTTCAAGCAGCCCACTCGGCCCGGCCTCTCCCCGCTCCCAGACCACCCCCCATGGGGTGCTCTCACTGCGCAGCGAGTCCCTCCGCTGCCTCCTCCCAGCCCAAAATGGCGGCGGCGGCGGCCACCGATCTTCTTGTCGCCTTCCTCAACGGTCGGGGATCCCTCCGCGCTCAGGCCCCTCCCCTCTCAGCCGGATCTATTTTCTGCCCGGTAAAGATTAACGCCATCAATGAACTCTTTAATTGAGTTCTGAAGAAGGCGGATCCGGTTGTGCTTTCGCACAGCTAATCGTTGACGAAAGCGACAATATTGGCAGACGATCTGACCAATCAAAAAGGTAGCATTGAGCGCGGGACGCCACCCGCGCAAGGGTGGATGGGTTTCGAAGTTCCCGGGTACGGTTGCTGACGTGCAGCATCTTGGACCGCCTTCCCAGATTATAAGAACTACAATCCCCAGAAGACACCGCGTTCCAGGCTGTCCCCTCCCCCCAACCTTAGCGCCTGAGCGGCTTGAGCAGAGCTGCAGCAACTGCAGTAAGAGGTAGGGCTGAGGCGTTGGGAATTGCACAGGCATCGCACAGAAAGACACACAGATGTAGTCGTGTGCATAGCCCTTGACAGCAAATAGGTCAGTTTCACCTTTGCAAAACCTCCTTCCATGACTATTTCCCCTCTTCTAAGAAATCCATCCTTATCCCAGTTGGGTTTCCCTCCCAGCTGCATGTACTGCAGACTTCTTCCCCTTTCCTCTGTTTCCCGTCCGGGGAGGAAGGAGGGAATCAGGCCAGGCCCTGTGGACGAAAGGCCTCAGTCCCGGGATCGGCCCAGGTCCCAGCCATGCTTCTAGAGGCATTGCCTTGTGGAGCCCAGCCTAGGAAGAAGGGGGGTAGGGGGTGGGGGGCGGAACTGCAGTCGCAACGGAGGGCCTCTTAGAGGCAGTGGGGAAAGGACTCCTAAGCTTGCTCCATGTTGTCTTGTGGGCATAGGCGCACTCTACTCCCAGCCTTCCCAGGCAGCCTATTTTCCCAGTTTGGTTGTTGGGGGAACAAAGCTTAGCCCTTGCTTTCTAGCTGCCAGCCTGGGCCTCAGTGACTTCCAGGACAGTATAGGACATAAGCCCTGGCCAGAGACCTGAGGAACAGAGCTGGGAAGATGGCCCTTTAGTCCCATTTGGCCCCTTGCTGGCTGGAGGTGTGAAAACCAGCCTTCAGGGCCTTCATTTAAAAGTGAGGATGTGCATGGCTGGTGCTACAAAATGGCTGCAGCTGCCTGGGCAAACAATTCCTAGGCAGCCAGTCTTCCCAAGAATTCTCCTTCAGGACTTAGTTTTCTGTTGTTGTTCAAAGCAGGTGTCACTAGTTAAAGGCATCTGCTGAAAGACTTGGAACAGAAGATGGCCACTCTGAACCAGACCAACTATAATACAGAGTCACCAGCAGCCCTGGAGGAGGCCAAGGTAAGCTCCCGCCCTCTCAAACACCTAAGTATTCTGAACATGGATCTTGCCAACTGGGATCCCAGCTTCTTGTCTCAGACGTGCTGGTAGATTTGGAAAACTAGTATTTTAAATGAGCCCCTACTATGTGCTGGATAATAGGCCAGATGAAAAATCCATGCTATTTTATGAAATCCTAGTAGCTCCTCAAGGTAAGAATTATTTCCAATTCACAGAAACTAAGGTTCTGAGAGCTAAAATACCTTTTCCAGAATTGTGCAGCATATAAGCAATAGACCCAGGGTTTAAACTTAGGGCCTTCTGACAACACAACCTTGTTTTTATCTCAGGGCCAAAGAACATTTTGTCCAGGCTGAGAACCGAGTCTCAGGAAGAAGAAACTTTTTGGTTCATAATTGGTATGGAAGTGGGGAGTAGGATCTAACTGAGGAGGGAGGAGAGGGACAGATTGTGTCAGGTCCTCAGAGAATGCCACCTTCTGATCTGGCAGCAGGAGCCCAAACCCTCCCAGCCCATGATCTCTCTCACTGCCCCACCTTACCCATTCTTCTCCCCTAACCCACAACTCCTTATAGGTGAGCAGGGAACTTAGGGTGGGGGGTCAGAGGAACGTCTGACCCACCTTACCTAGCCACTTCCAGTGTTTCCTGGATTTATTTAATTTGGAGTTCATGGCATGTCAGGGCTGGAAGGTTCAGAGAGAGCAAATGACTCACCCAGGTCACACAGCTTTTTTTTTTTTTTTTTTTTTTTTTTAAAAATCACCGGTAAGGGGATCTTAACCCTTGATTTGGTGTTGTCAGCACCACACTCAGCCAGTGAGCAAACCGGCCATCCCTATATGGGATCCGAACCCGGGGCCTTGGTGTTATCAGCACCACACTCTCCCGAGTGAGCCATGGGCCGGCCCAGGTCACACAGCTTATCCGCAATAGTGGTAAAAGTGGTAGAAGGACAAACCTTCAAGAGGGAGGCAGCATGTGGGGCCGGGGGCCAGGGCTGGCTTGGGTGCAGGGAAGGATCATTAGGGGACATTTACTGAGGGCTGGGAGCAGGTGAATTTTTGTATACACACAAACAAGCCACTCTGCCTTGGAGTTCCCAGCAGCCTTGCCTTCCCAGGTGGAGCTGCAGCTCTGTCTCAGTTGGCCCAAGCCACTGATGGAGACAAGGCCTACTGCTTATGATTGGTGATCTCTCTGCAGGTGAAGTAACACAACGCATTCCACACAGACCCTGACATACCTCCTTTCCTGTGAAGTTCTCTTCGGGGTCTCCAATACACACATAACATACCCCCAGCTCTTACAGGGCTACATATACCACATCCACCAGTACCCACCCTATGCTTGTATGGACCCATGCCCAGATTCACATGTCATACATTATAAAACAACATACAAATGGTAGTGGTTATTATTAGAAATCCCAAACCACAAACTTAGAGCAATTCATTCCCCATCCCCCACACTGTACTCCCACCCTCACCACAACAGAGATAAACAGATGCTCTGAACATACACACACTCTCTTGACAGATCCTTTCCACCTCTTCGATAGGTTCTAGAACTCTCTTACTGCTGACCGGAGGTTGACCCTTCCTCTCCTTAGTTAGGACCTCTTTCCTGCCACTCATATAGAACAGTGATAGAGTGATACCAATTGCTGCCTGGAATAAATGTGATCCATTTCTTTACCCTAGGAGGATAGAAAGGAAAGTCTCATTTTTCAATATCTTTTGGATGCTCCCATGTTATAAGCTTTAGGTCATTTATTATGATTATTATTATTATTATTACTTTTTTTTTTTTTAAAGGGGATCTTAACCCTTGACTTGGTATTGTCAGCACCACGCTCACCCAGTGAGCTAACCGGCCATACCCATATAGGGATCTGAACCCGTGACCTTGGTATTACCAACACCACACTCTCCCAAGTGAGCCACGGGCTGGCCCTGGTCATTTATTATTATTTTTTTATTTGTTTCATATATATATTTTTGACATCAGCAGCTGGCCAGGATGTGGATCTGAACCTTCATCTTGGTGTTACAAGGCTGTACTCTAACCAACCAGCCCTAGTTTTAGGTCATTTAACAAATATTTATTGGGGCTGGCTGGTTAGCTCAGTTGGTTAGAGCACAGCCTTCTAACACCAAGGTCACGGTTCAGATCTCCGTACTGGCCAGCTCTCCGCCCCCCCACCCCCCGCCGCCGCCAAAAAAAAAAAAAAAGAAAAAAGACTTGTGAAACTGAAATAAACTTAAAAAAAAATGTATTGAGCACTTACCTTGTGCCATACATAAGGACACACTGGTTAACTGAACAGACAAAATGCATTCTCGTGTTAAATGGTAATGGATGAAATGCTATGTGGGACGCTAACTATGTGACTTAATGGAGAGTCACTGAGGAGGGGAGATGGGGGCTACTTTAGATAGGGTGGTCAGGGAGGATCTCCCTGAAGAGGTGACATTAGAACTGAGCCTGAAAGGATGAAAAAGAGTCAACCAAGCAAATAGCTGGGAGCAGGATCGGATACATGATTGTGGGGCCCAGTGCAAAAGGGCCCCTTGTTCAAATATTATTAAAAAGTTCAAGAAAGGGACAGCAGAGCATTAAGCTAAATATAAGGTCTTTCTGAATGTGGGGCTCTGTGTGACCCTACAGGTCGCTTGCCCGTGAAGCCAGCTCTGTCTGAAAGACAAGCTTTCTAGGAAGAGGGACGAGCAAGTGCCATTTGGGCTTCTGATCAAGCAGGTGCATCAGGAGCTATCTTCCATCCCAGTTTTCTCCTTCTCCTACTTCATTCATTCAAACAGTATTTATGGAACACCTACTCTGTGCCAGGTATTGTTGTAGGCATTGAAATTACAGAGTGAAAAACACAGGCAAAATTCCTGCTGTCACTGTGAGTTTACTTGGGGAGGGTTGAGGGACAGACAGAAAACAGGTAAGTGAGGGGCTTGAGAATGACGAATCTAGCTGGGTGTGGGAAGGCTTTCATCCCTAGGGATAGGCTGTCTGTGATCCATCCTCCCTCCTCCCCTCTCTTTAGACCTCTGGTGCTCCAGGGAGCCCCCAGACACCCCCTGAGCCTCATGACTCTGGTGGTTCCCTGCCCCTGACACCCCGGATGGAGAGCCACTCAGAGGATGAAGATCTTGCTGGGGCTGGCGGTGGCCTAGGCTGGAATGGTAGGGGTCCTCGGACCCAGAGCCCAGGGGGCTGCTCAGCGGAGGCTGTGCTGGGCCGGAAGAAGCACCGTCGGCGGCCATCGAAGCGCAAGCGGCATTGGCGGCCCTACCTGGAGCTGAGCTGGGCCGAGAAGCAACAGCGGGATGAGAGGCAGAGCCAGAGGGCCTCCCGGGTCCGCGAGGAGATGTTCGCCAAAGGCCAGCCCGTGGCACCTTACAACACCACCCAGTTCCTGATGAACGACCGAGACCCGGAGGAGCCCAACCTGGATGTGCCGCACGGGGTCTCCCACCCAGGCTCCAGTGGGGACAGTGAGGCAGGGGACAGTGATGGGCGGGGCCGAGCTCACGGTGAGTTCCAGCAGAGGGATTTCTCCGAGGCCTATGAGCGCTACCACACTGAGAGCCTGCAGGGCCGCAGCAAGCAGGAGCTGGTGCGAGACTACCTGGATCTGGAGAAGAGGCTGTCGCAGGCCGAGGAGGAGACAAGGAGGCTGCAGCAGCTTCAGGGCTGCACCGGCCGGCAGACCTGTCGCCAGGTGGAGGCGCTGGCTGCCGAGGTAGAGAGGCTGCGGACCGAGAACCAGCGGCTCCGGCAGGAGAACGAGATGTGGAACCGAGAGGGCAGCCGCCGCGATGGGGAGCCGGGCACCTAGGAATGCCCCCAAGCGGTAGACCCAAGGAGAAGGTTCTATTTCACACACACTTGAGCCAGCTGGTTCTCAAGGAGGCAGGCGGCAGATTAAAGCCTTTCTCAGCACCCTGCGCCCCCTGAGAACAATTAAAATAGGTTCAGACTTCCACCTGGTCATTTCCGCAATTGGTTCTTCAATGTCATCTTACTTTTTACAGAGAAATTAAACGGTCTTGGTGAGACCAAATAGGAGTGGCTAGGATTGATTTCACTAGGACTGTTCTGAGAATCAAAAGATGTTTGTCCCAGTGAGGTCCCACTCCCCACTTGCCCCAAGCCTGGGAGGACAGCAGACCTCTGGGTGGGGACGTGTCAGGGTCTCTAGGATGCCCGAATTCTGCTTCGTGTGTCCTGGAGCAATCAGACTGCACTGAAGGTTTTGTAGGTGGGAGGGAGCTCAGTCAGGAGCCTCCAGGTTTAGCCAGAACCCTGTACTCAAGATGCCAGATTGCTATGAGGAGCTGGGGTCTACCCCTGGAGAAGATAGAGCTAGGGCTTTTGGAGAAGATCCAATCCCATGGGTTCCTTCAGGGTTTGCTTTCAGGCCCCGTGTGTTTTTCCCACAGTTTAGAGGGCTGGGCTGGGTGAGGTCTGGGTGCCTTGTGCCTCTTGTCCTTGACAGTCCCCCACCTTCCCCCTTCGCAGCAAGGGTTGGGACTGAGGTTAGTCATTACATGTTTGTCCCTTCCTCCTGGAAGGACACTAATAAGTAAGCACTCAAGGAGAGTATTTTCCTGATGGAAAATAAAGCCAAGAGGCAGAGGGAGGAGGCAGTGCATCGATCCTAAGCAGAACTGCTCTGCCGGGCCTGCCTGGCACCTGCTGTATCTGCACATCCTGCCCCTCTTGGCCCAGTCACGTGTGTGATTAATTCCCTCTGAAGTGTGTGAACCCCTCGCTGTCTGGGCCATAGAGAGCTGGGTCAGCCTGGGTACTACAGATACCACCAGCTGGTTTTGGGCTCTGAAACGAGCTTACCCACCCCCTCACACTCAGACCCACCCTTCCCCAGACACCCTGTGTCTTCCATCACCCTCCCTGCATCCTTGCTGGCTGGCACCTGAGGTCAGGCTGACAATGAGGATCACTGCGGGGAAGTTAGTTAACTCACCAGCGAGCCCTATAGGGAGGGGCAGAGGCCTGGCTGACCCAGCCTGGCTTCCCTTCCAGGTGCTCATCTTGAAAGCCACGTTGGGCAAGAGAGGGCCCAGGCCTGGGGATGGAAATGTTGACAAAACCCTGTGTGTTGCTGGGACAGCTTTCGTTTCCGCTCTGCCACACCCAGGCCTGGCCAGCACCATCTGCGACGAAGCAAGGCCAGAACAGATTCTAGGAAGGGATGGGTTTCAAGAGAAAGCCTAGTCCCATCCTGGGGGATCTGTGCCTGGAACCCTGGCCGAGGGCTCCTTCCCTTCAATCCCGACAGCTCTGTGCAGAAGGGCAGCAGGAATGATCGTCCCCACTTTGCAGATAGGAAACCTGAGGCTCAGAGAGGAAGTGGCTTTCCAGATTCCAGGCCTACCTTCCCCGGTGGGGTGCTGGCCACAGCCCGCAGGGAGAGGGAGGCCAGGACTAAGGTTGTTTACCCGGAGGCTGTGTGTGTGTGTGTGTGTGTGTGTGTGTGTGTGTGTGTGTGTGTGTGTGTGTGTAGCTAGGAGGGGAGAGAAGATTCCGGAGGGCTGCTGAGGGGGAGAGGTGCAGTGTGGGAGAGGGTGCCCAGGGCGGGAGTGGGTCGAGGGTCTCTGGGCACGAGCTGCATGCCAGGGAGGGGGCAGGTGAGGAGTTTGACCCTTCTTGGCCCAGAAGCTGAGGAGCCTGGAGACAGGAAAGCTGCCAGCTGCTCTCCACCAAATCCCACCCCCCCACCACACACACACATAAAATAGCTGAAAGGCTCTTGGCCAGGGCAGCAGGGAGGTGAGTTAATTTTCCCAAAGCTAGTGGGTGACAGGGTGGGGCAATAAGAAAACAAAGAAGAGGGTGTGAGCTGGGAAAGTGTCAGGGGGGCTGCCTGGAGGGCTCAGTAAGCCCCTCCCCTTCTGGTTCCCTCTGCCAACCCCAGGGTGAGGACCTGGAGGGCGGAGGTCATCCTGGGGGCTGGACCTGGAGTGCCTTGGGGCTCAGCTGCAGGGGAGGTGTGGTTCCCTTTTGTGCCTCCCCCTTTTGCCTTCCAGTTGTTCCTTCTGATGCCTGGTCCTGAGCCCGGGCTTCTCCTCTACCCCACCACAATGATGGAAACTCCACTTTAAAACAGACTCCCCCATCCGACACATGCCCTCAGCTGGGGAGGATGGGCTTGGACACAAGTCCCCTCTCCTGAGGCCTCTCCAGAGCAAATGCCCAGGGCCTTGCTTCCCGCAAGCCCATTTCTAGGGCCCTCTTGGTCACCTGGGCCAAGGGAGGGAGGCCAGAGGGTAAATATTTCACAGGAGTGATTGCTGAAGCTTCCTGCCACTCCTGCCTAGCCTGGCCTGGGATTCCCCTTTCTTCCCCAGCAGGGACTCCTTGGCCCCAGGTGAAAACTCCTGTTCCCAGTGGACAGACCCTGCCTGCAGTGGGGTCAGGGAATGAGAGGTAGTGGGGTGGGCAGAAGTTAATGGGGTAGTCAGGAGGAAGCTGCTAGTAAGTGGGCAAGGGGGTCTGAGGTGAGGTAACAACATATGGGGGGAAAGGAGGCCAGGTCCTGTTGTCCCTGTTGGGATCAAGCAAGGGTGGCACTGGCCCTTTAAGTGGGGGTGCCAGTCAATGTCCTCCCCCAGCCAACCCAATTCGTGGGCACACTGAGCATGTGCAGGAGCTGTGCAAGTGGGGAGGGGAGGGAAGTAGGGGGATAGATTCCGGAGGGAGCTTCTCACTCTCCCTACTTCCTGTAGCTGCCCCTACCCTCCTTCCTGGGTCTGACAAAAGAGCCCATGGTGCTCACCCAGTCCCTTCCCCTGCCACAGACCCCAAGGGGGGTGCTGCCTCCTGGAAGTGCTGAAGCCTGCAGAGGGTGCTGGGCAGGTCCTCTCTGCCCTGGAAAGTTCCCTGCTGCCTGGAGGTGGCACACGCACAGCCCAGTGCCAGCCTCATTTCCCTGGTGTGGGTGGTGGCTAATCTTCCTGCTGCTTGACATGTTCCCTTTCATTCCATTGGTGCCAGGGTTTTTAAAAGAATCTACCTGTGATGGTGCTTTGAAAATTAACCAGAGCCAAAAGGATGAGGTCCCTGCCCCCACCCACCAGAAGCTTCCAGCCCTAGAGGAAGCAAACAGCTCAGAGACAACAAGTACCTTCCCCAAACCCCCTCCTGTTCTGTCCATGGGATCAAAGTCTCCTTCCTCAACCAGCAGCATCCTCCAGGCCATCTCTCTGCAGCCCGGGTCCTCCTCCTCAAACCTTTCCCCCACCTCAGCCTGTTTCTGCACCGTCCCCCTGCCCTCAGCCCCCAGCCCCCAGCCCCCCTGTGCTTTCCCTACCCCCTTAGCACTTGCCCACCCTACTTCCTCTAATCTCTTAGCTACAGGTACCATTATTTCTTTTTTTACTGACATGAAATTTATGTAACACTAAATTAACCTTTTAAAAGTAAGCAATTCAGGGCTGAGCCCGTGGTGCACTTGGGAGAGTGCGGCGCTGGGAGCGCAGCAGCGCTCCCGCCGGGTTCGGATCCTATATAGGGATGACCGGTGCGCTCACAGCGCTCACTGGCTGAGCGCGGTGTGGCCGGTCTCAAAAAGGACAAAAAAAAAAAAAAGTAAGCAATTCAGAAAAAGCAAAAAACAAAAATAAAAGAGCAACTCAGTGGCATTTAGTACATTCACAATGTACACAACTGCCACCTCTGTCTACTTTCAAACATTATCACTGCAAAAGGAAATCCTATATCCATTAAGCAGGAACTCCCCATTCCCCTGCATCCCCAGCCTGGCAACCACCAATCTGCTTTTCATCTCTATGGGTTTACTCGTTCTGGATAATCTGGTGGTAGAACCAGGAGGGAAAAACCATGTGGTCTCCCAGTGCCTGTACCTGAAAAGCACATCTGAGACCTGTGATCCATCCCAGTTCTGCTTCTCCCTCAGAGACCCCCTTTCTTCATTTGTTCAAGGGGGTGGTGGACCTCAGGCTAGTCCAGGATCCTGGGCCCTCCAGGGCCTATCCCTGGGGGCTTCTGCCTGGGACGATGCTGCCTGGCCTGAAAATATTACCACCCCCTTGAACCTCCTGGCTCCTCCCTGCAGGTCCAGGCAGTGAAGGTGGCCCCAAGGGACAGTGCGATTAATGCTGTGGGTTTGGGGTCAAAGGCATGAGATGAGGAAACTTCGGCTCAGAGAGGTTGAGGAACTTGCCCAAGGCCACACAAGTCCTCCTTTGCTGGAGTTGCAGCCGGTCTGTCTGACTGTAGTTTAAGCTCTTGACCATTGTGTTCTCCTGTCTTCAAAGAGATAAAGTTAAGGGCTTAGCAAAGTGCCAACTGTGTGGGAGGTGCTGTCAAATGGAAGCAACCATAAATTTTACTACTTTCTGAGCATTGCATAATCGTGAACAGCTCCATTCCAAGGTGGTTCTTGGGAGTTCTTTTCACTACCCCCTTCCCTTATCTTTTGGAGAAGGTTTCCTCGTTTGCCGTCTCCACTGGCCTCTCTACGATGACAACTCTTGGGGCTAGATGGGGCTTCCTGGACCCTGAGCCCTTCAGGCAGGAGGGGGTGGGAAGCACTGTCTCCCTCCCCTGCAAAGGAGGAGATATTATTGTTTCCTTCACCTGGAGCTTGATTCACTCATTTCTCCATGGCTGAACATCCCCCTCGCTCCCCAAACAGAAAGTCCTTTGTGGACCCAGAGAAGGGAGGGGCCTACACAGGCTTTGCCTAGCAGGGGGACAGGCAGAGCAGCTGGTCCCCAGTTGGACACTGTGTCCCGGCTGCCTGTGGGCATGGACATTCCAGAGACCACCTGCCCCAGGGATCCTCTCTGGACCTCATCCAAGATAGGACACCCCAGACAAGCCTTCAAGGCACCTGCTATCTCCTGCACCCAGGATGGGCTCCCTCTCCTGCTCCTTCCTTACCCCAATGACTCCAAGAGGAAGTTCTTAAGGAGACTGGGTTGTGAGGAGGACATTGTGACCTACGAAGGCCTCCAGAGCCTGCCTCCTTACAGCCCCATGGATCCACGGAGAAGGGAAGGGAAGGGGTCTCCTCGGGCCTC